CATGACCCATGGCTTTGCCTGAAGCAGCAGGGCCAACCAGAGCCTGAGACCTCCAAACTGTGAGCCCGAACCAACCTTTTATCTTCAAAAGCTCATTCGCTCCAGTGTTTGGGAGAGACACAGAAAGCTGGCTACCATGGTGGGCGTGACAGACAGAACGCTAGAAGCAGAGGCATATGGACGGTGCTTCAAGATTCCTTAAGCAGGCACCTGGCTCTGCCAAATCTTCTAAATAGCTCAAGAATCTATTTCCTTGCTTGATTAGGCTGCCAATCACTCACACCCACTGGCTAGGTCATCTGCTGGAGCCTCCTAACACCTGCCCATCTTTCACAGCATGACTCCAGGGGCAGTAAGAACCCTGTTTAGAGTGTCAAAGGCTCCCACCTCAGTGTTGAGGTCAAACTTTGGAGCCGGCCACACTATCTACAGGCCCTGATCACAGAGAGATGCTCGCCCAAGAACTGTTGAATGAAGGTGGCCAGGAGGTGTTTATGCCACAGTGCAGCCTGGTGACAACATAATATAGGCCCCTGGCCTATATTTTTTGAACAACAATCAATAAATAGTGGGAATCCACGAACTTTGAAATTTTTGCCATTTGAAAACAACTTCATAAAGTTCTACTCAATTTTTTTAAGTTTGGTTTCTGCTAAGTATCCAAGGCTGGCCTCAAATTCCTGGCCCTCCTGTCTGAGTCTCTGGAATTCTGGGATTACAGGCTTGCATCACTACCCAGGCTCCTGAAGGTTTTAGCATGCTGATGACTACCACACTTTTGGTAATAATTTTAAACTATATAAACCTGCCTATAGGTATAACTAATACTGTATCCCCAAGTGTTAGTGTGGCCTATGGCCTGAGTCCTCCAGTCATACTGGAGGGAGCTGTCAGTAGGGAGTGGGGACTACAGGACAAGGGGTTCAGTTCAGACCCTTGGGCAGGCTACTGGAAGACTTAAAGCTCTTCTAATAGGGATTGCTACCTTTATGGCTCCTGGTACCCCCTCCAAAGCGGAAGAAAACTATCACTACACACAAGGGGCCATTGCAGTTTTGTTGAGAAGTGTACCAAAGGTTCATGTATTAAAGGCAAGGTCCCAATATGCCTTTATCCTCATCCAACTGGATCCTGAGGGCTCTGATCTAATCAATCGATTGATCCCTTGATGGATTCAAAGTATGATGACCTCATTGGGAGGTGGTGGGAACCCAGAAGTAAGGCGTGTGACCTAGAAAGATACACCTTGTCTACAACTCCTTCTTGGCTGTCCCTTCAGTTCCCAAATGCCATAACGAGAATAGCTTACTTCTACCACACCCTTCTAAAGCGTGACATTCTAAAGCTCAGAGCCAACAGCCAGATAAACCCTTCTGACCACGCTTCTCTTGGTTATTTTGTCACAGCCAAGCTAACATAGGACAATGGCTGCTTCCAGAGAGGGCAGCTGCCCTCCAGTCAGGCCCCCTCCCACCCCTCTCAGTGGGTCTGCACAGGGACAATGGGGTTATCTTATTCTTCTGCTTCTGGAATTCATACACCAGCTCTGTAGGCTGGGGCACAGAGATGGAACCTACATCTGAACTCTCTGCCAGGATTCAGCAGTCCCCGGCAGTGGGCAGGACGGTCACTGGGCCAGGTCTACTGGAAATCTTTGATGGTGGCCAGGGGAGGAGAATGGATTCAATGCTGTCCCAAGTTTAGCACATCAACTCTGCAATCCTCCTTCCTTTGGAAGAAGTCAGTTCTGAACAACCACCAAGATTCTGGGAAAAGTGGGAAACATCTAGAAAAATCAGCTGTTGGAAACTCCCAGGAAGCCAAGTCTGTCAGCAGGGTACTTTTTCTTCCCCAAAAACCTAAAAAAGAAAGAGTACTGTCCAGTCATGAGAGGCCAAATGCCCAGTTTTCCCTGTAAATTCAAAACCTAAAAAAGAAAGAGTACTGTCCAGTCATGAGAGGCCAAATGCCCAGTTTTCCCTGTAAATTTAAAACCTAAAAAAGAAAGAGTACTATCCAGTCATGCGAGAGGCCAAATGCCCAGTTTTCCCTGTAAGTTCACGTCCTCCACAAAGTTGGACATGCCTGAGGAAGATATCCCCCATCTTGGCACTTGTGCCTACTTCTCCACAGCATGTGCTTTGCCGTGAGAGATATGCAAACACATCTTGATTGCCTCCTCAGAGTTTGTTCGGGCCTGGTCATGAGGTTCAGTCATTGGTCATATCAGTCCCTCTACTTTCCAAGTTCAGGCCTACAATAAGGGCCCTCCATTCATGCACTGGAGACCCTCCTCTGTGCCAGGTACCATGCTTCATGCTGGAGGGGAGAAATGAGCTCTCTGGAGGTGAATGCGATTTAAGGGCGCATATGCTGGGAGCCGGGAAAGCCAGGGGTGGTTTAAAAGGGAACGAGTTAGGCAAATACCAGGTGATCATGTTTATCAGTCTGTTTCCTGTTCCTATAGCTAATAAGTAGGAGAGGTTTGTTTTCGTCAGTTTTGAAGGCTTAAAGTACATTTAGCATGGTGGTGGCTGTGACGAGGCCCTGAATGATATCTCACTGTGGTGATGACATCATGGTGGGAATGAGTGACAGGGAGAGACCTCCCAGGAATTAGGAAGTGAGAGATTTGGAGGGACCTTATTTAGTGCTACTGGGGTTGACATCCAGGGTCTTGTGTGTTACGAGAACCACAAAGATATATGTATGTATGTGGTATCTATATCCATATATATCAATTTATTAAGGGATGCTATGGGGAAAACAGACTAACAGACTCACGGATACAGGACAAGGTATAATCATGGCGAGAAGAAGCGTGTGGCCTCTGTCTCTCTCCTTTTAAGAGATCACATCCACAGACAAAAGTCATGCCCTAAAGTCGGCATCCCAAAGCTACTGGCGGAATGAGTATTCCCCCAAGCTCTGGGACGGGCCGAAGCTGCAGCAACTCAGCATTAGATCAGAGTGGAGAAGTATGGTTGACAAGGGATCCTATAGCACAAGGACAGACCAGAGACCCCTGTGTGCTCCCAAAGACCTCAGAGATCCTGCAGGGGTCCTGTTCATTCAGCGACTGTCCAGGGTCTGCTAGGGGCCAGCGTCACAGTTCTGACTCCCAGGCCACTTGAAAAACCACCTCAAATTTCTCCCATTTTCATCCAAAGAAACACCTGATTTGCAGTTTTTATTCAGTCAGCGGTGAGTTAGGCCCCTCCCCTTTGTTCCCAAGAAGAGGCATCATAGTTCATGATAGATGACTGGTCCTTGCAGATCACATCCGACCACACTGTTTCAACTTCTTGGCCACCCATGTCATGATGGAGCGGAGTTGACTTTCTTAGTACTTGGTTTGTGAAGGAAGTGATTTTCAGCCCAACGTCAGCCCCCAGGGATCAGAGAAAAGGAATTTGAGTGTGCTGGCTTGCTGGGGCTAGTGTTAACAACGCCTGTTAACACTCTCCTGGTTCTATAGGAGGCTGACACACATGTGAAGTGACCACACGGTTACGAATCAAGGCAGGGACAAGGAGGGACAACCAGAGCCTCAGGCAGCCACGCTCTCCACTGAGTCTGAACTGCTGGGTTGACCCCTGCACGGTCAGGTTTTAGGGACCCTTGGTGAGCTGCCCTTCACACCGGCTTCTCCCTCCAAACTGACTTCCTCCTTTCTGGAGCTCTGTAATTCTCATCTCAGTTGGTTATTGGGTTAAACATAGATGACTTGAAGGTTTCTCATTCCCTTCAGGGCCTGTTCTCCCCAGGAGACACGGGCCTGGGCCCTCCATCTTTGCTTGCTCATAGGTGACGTGGCAATGGCCAGCAGGGCTAGCTGTGTTCAAATGCTCAGAGAGCTTTGCCTCTCTTCTTTCTCCTGGCATTCATCATATAAAGGACACTTTCCATTTTCTGGATGGCTTTAGATGTCCAGAAAGGGGAAGCAGCTGAACAGGGAGGAAGACACTGGGACTTGGTACCCCTAAATCATCCCTCACCTTAGACAAATTCCCAAATTTTCTACTGGCTAACCAATAAAGGGGTCCTGGCTGCAGATACACAGGCCTGGTGGAGCCCCAAACAAGATAAGATCCAGAGTTCTCAGGTTAAAAGACACAGGGGGCCCAGAGGAGAGCCACAAAGGACTGTTTTTGTCTCAGGTATCCCAGGATGGCCTTGAACACATCCAGGTAGCTGTGAAGAATGACCTTGAACTTTTCCTCCTGCCTCTCCCTCCAGCGTGCTGGGATTACACGTGTGTGCAAACGCCAGGTTTATGTTGTGCACAGGATCAAACCCAAGGCTTCCGGCATGCAAGTGGAGGGCCATCTGAACTGCGGCCCCAGCCGGCCCTTGAGGTTTCACTAAATCCCTACCTTTCTTTTGGCCGGGACTCCAAAGGTACCCATTCCTGGGAGGGTGGCCGCTTCTCCCAACAGCTGGGCAGAACCGGAAGTGGCCTCTAATCTAAATCACACACACACACACACACACACACACACACACACACACACACACTCCCACCTCTATGGAAACTCCATCTCCACACTGCTTCGCCCATCACTCACTTTCCATGGTCCTCGGGGATCAGGGATGGACAGGGCTTGTCAGCCTTTAGCAGGAAGGTGCTCCAGGCATAGGATGGGTTCCCACAGCGACTGGAAGGGTCTCAGAGGGGCAGGATGGGGAAGGGGCAGACATCCTCGACCAGTTCCTGGAGCACCCTGGCTCGCGTCACTAGGCCCACCGCACCCCAAGACATCACAATCTGGGGGCTGCGACCCCCGCGCTTCATCATTGTGCGTTGGCGATCAAACAATCCAACCAATATCCACCCTAGGGGTGGGGGAGGAAAAAAAAGAAAAAAAAAAGGACTGTCCCGAGGCCGGCTCCTCCCGCCCCGCCCCGCCCTCTTCCCTCCCGCCCGGGGCCCCCGCCCCCGCCGGGCAGTGAGCGCGCGCCGGGCGCCCCGCTCCGCCGCCCGCGCCCGCCCGCCAGCCCGTCCGCCCGCGGCGGGGCCGGCCCTTCGCCCGCCCACCGGCCCCGCGCTCACTGCCCGCGCCCGCTGCCCGCCGCCCGCCGCCCCGGCCCGCCGCGCGCACTCCATGGCTGCTCAGGAGTGGGACTGGTTCCAGCGCGAGGAGCTCATCGGCCAGATCAGCGACATCCGTGTGCAGAACCTGCAAGGTACCGCGGCCCCGGCCTCCCCGGAGGGGCCACCTCCACCAAACGTGGGCCCCGCCGCCTTCTTCGCACGCCCCGGAGCCGGGTGTCGCTGGCCTGGGCCGGGCTTGCAGAGCTCAGGGGGTGGGGCGGTGCGTGGGCGTGAGTGTGTGCACGCGTGTGTGTGCACGCGCACGTGTGCACCCCAATCCCTGTAGGGGACCCTCACCCCCCTCCTCCCGCCTCTGGTAGTTCAGAGAAGTTTGTACGTGGACTCTCAGGGGCGGTGGCCCAGGTTAGGGCCAGGAGAAAGTGCCACTGGTGTGTGCCTGTGTCAGACTTAGCTCGCACTTTCTGAAGTACCTGTGAGGCGGGGGACCTGGAGTGAGGTGCGTAGTCCGTCCGTGGGGCCTCTGGGTGGTGGGGGCACCCTGTGGATCCCAGTGAACTGAGGATCAGGAGACCTTGCCCACCCAATCCACAGTCTGGGCTGGAGTTGGGACCAAAACCCTTGGCTGAGGCTGTTGACAAGATGGAAAAACTCTTGGTGGCCCGTGTGTCAGACATGGGCTCTGTGGTTCTGTCAGCTATGAATATGAAGTATCTTTCAAAAGAAAGTATTGGGTGTGGAATCTTAGCAAACACACACACACACACACCCCTAAAGAAAAGAAATCCACCCCTTCAACTCCCAAAAGGTCATTGCTCTCAAGCTCCATGGGGGCAGAAGTGTGATTCCAGCCCCCTCTCTCCTACGGGGCTTTGCAGAACTAGACATATGTCCACTTCCGGCCTCTTCACACACTGGGGCCTGTGCACAGGTGAGGTTGGTTTAGCCACTTCCCCTACTGGCTTGGGGTGTGTAGAGAGTTCAAGGTTGAAACTGCAAGAATCCAGCTGGGAGGTCTGGACAGTGGTGGGGGCAGGAGGATTGTGGGTGTCCCTTTGCTAACAGGGCAGGGAGCCCCTGCTGGGGGTGGGGAAGAGTAGTCTAGATTAAACATTACACCTGAGAGAATGTTTCCTGGGCGCTCACGTGGCCCTCTCCAGCTGAGGTTTGGCAAGGACAGTGCGGGGCTGCAGAGGTGACCTGAAAAGGAGCCAGCAGGCGCCTCAGGGAGTGGGCATTGGGTACTCTGGGCTCTGGACTCTGCGGCTGTTTAGTTAGCCGCTGTGATTTGTGTCGTGGCAGGAGGGTTGGAGTCGCTGTGCTGAAAAGAACCAGGATCTGGTCTGAGATGGGCAGTCATACCTTTTGCTGAGCTGGTATCAGATTGGGGCTGTCAGGTCTGGTGTGCCTTGGGCAATCACGAGACATTTTAATGAGCATGTACTAGCCAAAGCTATTTGATGCTGCCAATTCTTCTTGCAGGACCAGCTTCCAGTCTGGAGATCAGTTATTGTAAAGGAACACACGGCAAAGTCACACAGAGGGACAGGATTACACAGCGTAGGGACCCTTTGAGATGGGTCTGGAAGGTTTAGGACTTCAGAATTAAGGGTCATGGTTCCTCTCTCGAGATTGTCGCCTACCACACTTTCAGGCAAATATCAATTATAATTTGAACAGCAATGGACTTTGTTATTAAGAGGCAAACTTCAAGTGTCATATGTATTGCACAGATGTATAATGAAGACTAATTTTAACCGTGAGCTCTACATGCTTTGAGATGTGGGTACACCCAGGTAATTGCTACCTACATATAGATTCCCACATCCCTCCGTGGTTGCCTCATCTTCCTTCCCAGGCAGTAACCTCACCTACCTACCACCAAGGTAACCTTTATTCGGATCTTTTGTTATTAATCCCCTGCCTTGCAGTTGAATGGTACAGTGTATCCTCTCAATCTGGCCCTTTTTGATCAACCTGATGTTAGCGAGATCCATCTGAACAGTCTTTTCTTTAGCTATAGTTCCTGTTGACTGCTGGGTACCATTCCACTGTGTGGATGTGCCACCATTCTGTTCTCCAGTCAACTGTTGAAGGACCTTTGGGTTATTTGCAGCTTTGGGGGGTGTTATGAACAAACAAAGCCAGCTGTGTCTTGGGGTGGACATGAGTTCTGGGCAGTTGCTGAGGAGATAAAAGCGAGAATGGAGTTCAGGTCATGAATCGTCTGTTTTCTCCCTGATCTCTCTGTCTGTAATAGGAGCCCAACAGATTTATCTCTTTTTGCTCCTGTGGTACTTAGAAAGTCTCCACTAAAGGTTCAAGTCCAGAAGGCATCCTACATTGATCTCAGAGCATCTGCGGAGCCAGCTGGTGGATGTCAGGAGCCCAGCTATGTCTGGATGAGCAGATGGGGGCTGTCTCAGGGCCTTGCTCATCTGAGCTCAGGTGGGCTGTGGGTGGGGGCAGCAGGCGGAGTCTGGGACAGGGTTTGCTGTAGAAGCATGTGACTGCTCCTAGTGAAGGTAGCCATGGTGTCTCGGGGTTCATAGTTGGAGACAGGGACTTCAGGGTCTGTAGTGAGAGGGATGGAGGCTCCTGGTACCCGTGTGCAGGCAGCTACTACTGTCGAGTCCATCAGGCCTGTTTGGAGTCTTCTGTTCCTGGCACAAGGTGGTTCTGGGGTCAGCAATGAAGGCCGTTGAGATCAGGCCCTGGACGCTGCATTTCAGAGAACAGCTTGTAGTTAGCTGCTTCTTCCTCCCCATGTGTCCCAACCTTTATTAGGAAGCTTGTTGACTAATGCCCGTGCATTCCACCTAGGCCGGTGAGGTTCTAGAATCCAGGCTGTGATTGTGATATGGAAAACCTTCCCTGGAGGAACGCTGGGGAGGAGGGAGGCCAGATGGGGTGGGTGGAGAACCCAGCTTCTCTCTGGGGCCTTTCCTCTATTATCAGTCACAGAGCAGATGATGTTGTTCTGACGCGAGCCCACGATGGCCACTGAGGTGTTTGTCACCGAGGCTGGGGAGCAGCATGGTATCCCTTAGCAGAGACTTCCCGTGACACCTTACCAGGGTCCCTGCAAGGAAGTGAGGGTGGCTCAAGCTGTTGACCTTTTCTCAGAGAAGAAAATGACACACGGGAGGATGTCTGAAGCCTAGGCCTGCGGATCCCACTTGTCCTCAGATCCGCAGCCGGTGACACGGAGGGTAGAGGTGGCCAGGTGCCTGCTCCTGGCATTAGTTCTCTGCCGACTGTCCCCTGGAGGCCTCCAGCATCCTGAGGACAGTGTTACATGGTTGCCCTCTCTTCTTCGCTTCAGTGGAGTGACCCACTCTGAACAAGGCTGCTGAGTCAGGGCTTGGGAGGCGCTTGTTCATCGGGAGCCTGTCACTGTCCCCCAGTCCACAGGTTTTCTCTGTTCTGCTTGGCAAATGAGGGCCAGGCACATCGAACCTAGTCAGACACCATCTCAGGCACCAGCACTGCTTCTTGGGCTCATGATTTGGATGGAGAGACTTCCGCTAGTGTTGACAGGCAAAAGCAGTGATCTGTCTGTCACAATCTAATTCACTTCTGCATGCTAACGGGCTCAGTTGCCTGATGCGATTGTGTGGAGGCCATCCCTGCGTTGTGGCCCTCTCCTGATGTCTGGTACCTTAAAGACTTGGTGCTGTCATCTCTCACCTCAGTTTTTCTAGAACAGCTTGGCTGGGACTCAGCTATGAGAAGGGGCTAGGTGAAGTGGATGGGACGGACTGTCCCATCCCTTCTCAGAGGGGCGCTCGGCAGCAGCATTGCCATTGCCTGGACCCTGCTGGCTGCTCTCCCTGACAGACATTCCCGTCCTCAGTCAGAACCCCCTCAAGATCATGTGACTTGCAAATCTGGCTGGTATTTGAACCCAGGAGAGGCTGGGGCAAGTGTCCTATGGGTATAAGTACATGGGTAAGAGGTTGCTAACCTCAGTGGTGGTGGCTAAGAAGGTCCAAGGAGGGCTTTGACTTTGGACTTTGAAGGCTGACCATAAACTGCACTTGGACTGGTTTGTCCTCTATAGGGCATTGCTTGTATGTTCCAGAAGGATCTGTGCTTTCCTATACTATTGCTTTCTCCTTGTCACTGACCTGGGCCCACTAGCAGCTCTCCTGATCTTGCTTGGGCTTCTCAATGACCTTTTGAGGCTTTGTCTTAGCTTCACCTCCTCCAATCCATCCACCATCCAGCCACCCCACTGTGTCCTTACCAAACCCTCCTGTGAGTTTGTGGACTAAGGCAAGGGCTTCCTGACCTGCTAGTGGCAGCAGGTACCTGGTGCTAGTTTAACTCTTCCTGAGAAGACATGACCAAACACCCACATAGGACCCTAGCAGCTGCAGAGCAAAAGAATGATTTCATCCAAATAGAGCTTGGTTGGGGCAGTGACTTTATTGGCCTCATTCACAGAAGCAGGGGTAAGCTGTCACTTACAGGACTGTGGGCGGCGGTCCCAGAATAACTGCATCGCCTCAAAGTGGCCCTCTCACTTGAGTGACAGCTCATGGAAGCTGAAGTCCCCATTCAGTTGGCTTTCCACCTCCTATTTACGTTAGCATTTCTCGAGACTGTGCAATTTGGATTGGGACATGGGAACATGGAGAGGGCAGTGTGGCTGGCATCTCAGGGATGCCCAGAGGGAGACACTGTCTTGTGAAGTATAGTCTTGATACTCTGATTAAGATGATAGTCGTCATGCGATATGTGGAGGACAGCATCCGCAACCTGGGTAGCTGCTTGGTCCACCCCTGGACCAGTAGTATCGTGGGCTGTGGATCCCATGACGAGAGTTGGCATGACCTGGTATTTGAGGCCATCTGTGGGCTGCTGGGGGTGCCACACCAGCCGCCTCACCCCTAGTTACTTCCTTCTCCCCTAGAGCCCACTCTCCGCTCTGTTGATCTCCCACCTGTAGACGTTCTGTGCTATGGGACCAGGACAGACAGGGAAGGGCCCAGGAAAGGGCCTTTCTGCTCTCTTTTCCTGGACTCTCAGCAGAGTTAGAACCCTAGAAGGTTCCATTGAAAAACCAGGAGAAAATCAGATGTGGAGTTTTATGTCCCTAGGGAGCTGCCTTGCTAGGTCCCAAGCACTG